CTTAGCATTCGAGAACCGTGAAGGGATTGACGATATCATGACTACATTTCATTTATCAGAAGGTGAAATTTCGTCACCAATCACTCTCCCTTTTTGTCCTTCTACTCTCGTCGCCTCACGAATTGATGGGGATTGCGATATCGGCCGTGCAATTTGTCGCAACCCGGCTTTCGAGTCAAATAGCGTAAGCACCACCCAGGTTCAATCAAGCGCGACATTTTCCACCTCTTTTGATCTTCAGCTGCGGTTCTGCACTCATGCCACCAGCCCAGATTGGTTTTTGACCACCACTATTTAGTAAGGAATACGATAGACAAAGCCTATTGTATCATAGCAGCTATGTGCTAGCCCCAAAACACCAGTAGACTTTATGTCACAGATCGCTTTTAAATTCTGACGCCGACTAATTACATTAATTATGATACAGAGCCAAGATCCCCTTGAATATGCTTTAAAATCGATAGCCAGGTCGGTTTGTTATATGTTTTATTCTCAGTTTAGTAAAAATATACTCTCTTTTAGACTGACTTCTGCCGGCAGCTTCGAGGGGATGAATGCTAGTAGTCTACATTTCAAACTAATCATGTAAAGTAAGGGATTTATAGGTCACCTGGAATATTCTTCTCTAGGTCGTAATTTCTTGTTAATCTGCCCCTACCACTGCTCTTTATGCTCAGTTTTCCTCTTTCCCATTAAGGTATGTCTATTATCCTAATTTTTAGACAATTTTTCACTATTACCCCGGTTACTTTGTCATTAGAAAGCGAAAGAATTTATGATGGATTTTAACTCACATTTAACTAGAAGTTGTTGACCTTGTTTTTACAACATGGTCATATTGGTAGGAAGACTTACAGGAACGCACCTAGTCCGGAGTCGATTTTCTGCATTATCATTTCCAAAGTTGAACCGTGGATGTACCACGTGCCCAGATAATTTAACGCAAATGCTTTTCCTTCACATTCATCTCCGGCCTCATATTAATACTTCTCTATCTTTATCAACTATACTTCTTGAATCCGACAGATACACACTTCAAAATATTTGTCAACCTGTTTTGTTTTAAGCCTTATAATAGAATGGGGTTTACTACATCATATATCATAGGATAAAATCATTTTATTCAGAAGCATAGGCTCAGACGACAGATCAGGAGGGAGTTTCTGGTATACTTGAGCATCTTTTTGGACTAGACACACTTTATAGTTT